TAATGATGTAGAGATGGTTAACCATTGATATAATATGAGAAGGAGTTAATGGAGGGTGCGGGGGTATTCTTGCATTCTAAAGTTCTCTTTTAAAATTATTATTTTCTTATAGAGTTTATAGTTAATAATCTATCCTAACGATATTACACTAATTTTACTCTATTAATCTTTCAATTTCTTTACTTCTTAACCTTTAGTCCCGTTATCTGTTTTACCTACAATCAAATGTAACCTCCACTAGCTTGTTATCCACTGATATCTTATTATTATTTTATCTTATTCTTATTTTAACTTTACAATAACAATACTTATTCAATTTTCAATATATTTATTCGTTAACATTCATTTTCTTTATCTGTTAACCAACAGTTATCAAATCTAATCTCTATTAGTTTGTTATACACTTATTCCTTATCTTTTATCGCAATCTGTTTACTTTTAACTTACATGCTATATTCTCCTTTATTTTTATTTTTATTCATACTTATTTTCAATTTGTTTGTATCTTCTACATATATAATACTTAATATTTTAACTATATTGTCACCCATTATATCTCTGATATCATCTTTTTATTTCTGTATCTGACAACTTCTTCTTATTTTATATCTATTTTTTAATTTCAACATGTTTTGTATCTTTTGTAGCCCTGAAGACGACCTGCGAAGTGGGTCGAAACGTATTTAGTATTTATTTGACCGCACCCCCAATTAACTCCTTCTCATATTATGCTTTTTAATTATTTTTTAATCCTTATTATAATATATAATCCTTATTATGTGGGTTTATGATTAAATTTTCCGCGGCGAATAACAGAATCGAGTTAGGAAGCACGTGAAAATATAATCCTGCTTATATATAAATTTGTAAAATGCACCGTGAACAAACATATTAGTAGCATAAGTGCAGTGGAGTCGTCCTTGTGAAGATAAAAAGGGCGGAATCTGGACTTTCTCCAAAGACTTCTTTCCCGTTGTTCGCCCGGGTCAAGGATCCGAGACACACGACGTCCTTTCGAAATGGAATGCCTCTTTGGATCCTGTCGATGTTTCCATTGATTGAGCTAGCTGCAACTATCGGTTATATATTCTGCACTCCTAACAAAATATACTTTAATTCGAGGATGTTGATTTATCAAGTTCACACATTATATTCATAGACTAATTAAAAAAAAAATATTGTAGATAACGATTTTGTTTAATTTTAGAAAGTTTCCTAATCTGGAGTATTGGAAAATCGAATTTCCATAATTGTCGTCCAACTTTATATCAACAATTTACAATTTATTTTCTCACATTTTTTTTTCAACTCGTTGTGCCAAAAGAAAATTACGGAACGTGGGGTCACCGATTTTAATTAAACCTTTTTTGGTTATGTTCAAAAAATATTAGACCCACGTTTGAGTTCTCGCCAATGGACCCTTGTAGATGAGAAAAAATATTTTATAGAATTTTTACATTTGTTTATATTATTGTTGCCTTCCTTACCTTGCTAGATTTCTAGGTTTCAATTTATCAATCGATTTCTTTTGTGTGTGGGTGAAAAAAAGACAAAACTATTAACTACAAAAATACCGATCATACTCTAGTGTTCTCGCTGGTATTCCGAGCGGCATTTGTTGATTCTTGGTTTCATCTTACTAATTACCTTATTTATCTATTAATTAGTTATCATATCTCAAGCTATGTTTAATATAACATATATATGTTTGTATAGTTCATATTTATCCATTTTTTATTACTAATAACAAGGCTAAATTATTAAAAATAAACAAAATTCGCCATTTAAGCAACGTAAGGATATTTTAATTTGATTTTATATGGAAAAAGAGAATTTAATTAAAATCTTTCGAAACCTCTTCCAGAAAATAGTAAAAAATTGTAAATTCGATTATATAACTTACAAGCAAGGATACAGTCTGTGGGTGACCGATTTCAACCAAAGTTTTTTTGGTGATACTAATTGAAAAATATTAGATGCGTCTCCAGGCGTTCTTTCCAATGGGCCCTAGGGGCCGAGACATTTTTTTTTTAAATATAATTTCATACAAAATTTATGTTATTTATTTTTGCTTTTGCTTTATCCGGATTTTTAAGTTACTATTTATCTATCGTTTTGTTTTTTAATTGAGAATAAGAAAAAAATATTAACTATTTTATCAAATGAGTTATAGCGTATCATAAACCACAAAAACCAAAAGATGTTTCCTGTAAAGTACTTCAAATCAATTTTTGTAATGAAAAAGCAAATTACATTCCTATTTAGGGTCCTTTGCAAAACTCTCCTATACGAATTTTTATATAAATTAAAAAATAAAACCTTTACTATTTGATTTTCTTAGATGAGTTTTTCCCGGCCGTCATTTTGCCAGGTTTGTATATGGCTGAGATGTTACAGAAACCTTTTCGTCAAAATCGGCAAACCGGGAGTGGCACTTATATCATCGATTTAATACATTTTTACGATTTTCTCAAAAACGGGTTTAACAATTTTGATTAAATTCAGTTTATTAGTGTATTATTAAGTGGTCTTTAATATCAGCTAGGTCTTATCCACATTCATGTCGTTTTACAGAGCTTAAAAGTCCAATGCTCAATATTTCTCCCTCCAAAATACCTCTTTTGTTTTTTTTAAATTGACTGCTTGCCATTGTTCGGAGTAAAGAAAAAATACTAACTATAACCTTTGAAAGAATTTGATAGTTGAATAATGGAGAAAAAACGAAAAATTTTATTTATGTTGTAAATTAAAAAAACAAAAACAATATCTAATATATATAGAAGGTAGTGTAGTGTTACGAAAAATTGTAAACTAATATTATTTAACGGAATTACATATTTCCGACAAAATTTAATGAAATTTTCCAACTAAATGTAAACTTCTATAATTATTTTTTAAGTTTGTAAAAAAATGTATTTAAAATCCACCGATTCAAGCCAATGACATTGTTTAAAAGACTATTTAATTGTACATGTGTGAAAGAAATTAAATATAAAAATATTTCATGGATGTTTAAAACATATGTTTACCACCTTAAATACATTTACTATAGTTCAATAATTTTAGATAACTAGCTATAATAGGAAAATGTATAACTTAATTCACAGTTCTATACATCAACATTGCAATCACTCTGGAATCAACTTACTCACTGTCTGTACAAATATTATAAATTATCCAACTAGAAATATCACTAACATGACATTACTCAAAAATGTTGAAATTGGAATTAGGCATTCTGTAAACTGAAAGGCACATACAACTGAGAAACTGAAGTTAAGGGATTTACAAAAACAGATAGAGTAACGAGGTTTTTATTGCATACCGTCAATTTAATAAATAAGTTTTTTGTTATTTTAGTGGTCTTAATAAGTTTTTATCTGTAAGCTTTAAGCTTTAGCTCCGTTACAAATGCACTTCAAAAATTTTATAATGGTCCAACATTGCCAGAAAATAATTTCTATTCAAAGTAGAGCGGTAAGTGAAAATTGTGTGTTACGTGCTCCAGATTCTTTTTTTTTTAGTATCTAAATATGCTAGAACGTACTAAATAATCCAATCGTTAACAGTGAAAAACAATTTAGACCGAAATCATATCTTTGTATTGAAAAGTGATTTGCGGTAGCGAAGTAAAACAGGCCCTTCAAAGAACATATATTGTTTTAAGGTGCTTTGAGTCCGAATTAACACGTTTTGTAAAATTTTATCTGTGTTTACCAGGACACATTAGTCCTTTTCAATTTAGTCATTCCATTGTTATAAATAGTTGCTTAAAGATATTCCGGAATTCATAATTGATACTACGAATATCGGTTTTATTAAACACATGAAACGAGTATTTCAATTGCAGGAATGAATTTATTTGAACTAAGTGCCGCTTTAGGAAGTGATAAAACCGTTAGAATGACTCGACAGATATATCGATTGTTACATAAAATAAGGAGGTCTTGTAGATGCGTTTTATTAAAAAGTTCAAGCCTTCAGTAAAATGAGAATAAATATTGTATTTATGTTAGATCATCTTTAATGAAGCTATCGATCACATATTTATAACGCTACATTTAATTGTAGAGTAGACGCTCACAATTGTGAAAGACACACATTAGACAAAAACGTATGGAATTAAACAGACGATACGATCTTTTATTAAGGTTACTTGACAGACATTCAAAATTATCTTTGACTAACAAACTAACACTCTATAAAGTTTTGTTAAAACCAATTTAGACCTATGGCATAGAACTATGGGGGTTCTGCTTAAACTTCCAATATTAATAAAATCCAGTCTTTCGAATCCAATATTTTACGAAGAACAGTTGACGCACCATTTTATATCGCAAACGATAGATTACATAAAGACTTGAACATGACAAGTTTAGACACTGCAAAAGAAAACTTCAATAACTTTCACCAAAGACTGACTTACAACACAAATCCTCTGACAGAAAACCTTAAAAGCACTATAAACCCGTACAGCCCACCTCGACGATTACGTATGCGGTGGCCAAGAGACCTGCTGAACTGAGCTATTTCCTGGATTGGGATGGGACGCTGTGAAGCTGCCAAAACATTTGCTCATTGCAAAGAAATTTTCAGAACGCAAATTTAATTTTTATGTTATGTATTATAATGATAATAATAATAACATTTAATTGTTTTCACCATTTTTTTTTGCCTATTTTTATAATAAGACTTCGATAACAGTATGCTAATGCATGTATAAATACTGTTTATTTAGCATTTAAACAAATGAAAGTCGAATAAGAACGACCACTCCTGAAGTTGGTCCCGTTTCTCCTGATTCATCCTGCTTAGAAGAAAAGTTGTGTAACTACCACATGGACTCTAATGTCGGGAACTCTTTCACGGCACTCTATAGGTGATCCAATGTTCATTGTAATTGGGAAAGACATGTTTGTTTTTAATATATTAATAAATGATACTTTTAACACTTGTTTTGGTTTGTTGTAACATCCTCAACGGTTGCTACCTCTTGTCTGATGACTCTCTTTAACCTTGCAGCTATGGTAAAGGTGACCGAGGATAGCGATCGGGATAACAAGGAGAGAAGGGAGGAGCCGGAGGAGGGCAAGCTGCCGCGGACGGGGACCTCTAACCTGGCCACCCAGCACTTCCACTACCACTGGTCCTACCCCAGCGGGGGCCCCGCGGCCCAGGCCACCTTCCACTTCGGCCCGGGCTTCGAGCCCCAGACCTCCCCGCACCAGCACGTCGTCTACTTCCACGTCAACCCCGGCGTCACCGTCAGCTTCCAGATGGGCGACAACATCCAAACAATCAAAGGTGAGTCACTCTCTTAATATCTTCCCAGTATTTACTCCTTAACTTGACTCTTTTATGACAGATCTTGTGATTTCCTTAGGTTCCTCGCAATTATGGGTTTTCATTCAGGAGCGTCTGAGTGTAAAATATCTTATAACAGCATCATACTCCAATCCTTCCTGAGTGCGCAGGGTTAAAGTAGCCTCTATAGAGCTTGGACCAAGAGTCCCTCTGCTGCAGTCCAGCCTTCCTTCCTGAATGCTTCCCGCGCTCCTTTCTCCTAGGTTATCCGTGGTCTTCCTCTTGGTCTTCTTCCCTCCACTCTTGCCTCATATGTTATATCCAGTTTAGTTTGTTATCTTCTAAGGAGGTTTCTGTCGGCTGCACCTTGAGATTTGACATTATATTACGGAAACTTTTTCTTCTGGACTTCCCTTCCACCTTTCTCAGGTCTTCTCATCATTGTCTGGATGTACCCCTTTGTTTAGAGATAAGGGTACTTGATTCCGAAAGGATGGACAAGAACTTTGGGCTGTAGACGGATAGTTTTGTTTTCTTCGTCATCTCTATTCTGTTGAGAAAATCTCTCTTGATTGAATAGAACCTTCTTCCAGCTGCTTCCATTTTTTTGCGACACCTCCATCGACATAGCCACTTTCGTTGATCCAAGGTCAAAGATATTTAAAATCCTGTACCTGTTCCAAGGTATGTCCTTTCAACTTCATTATTTTCACTACTCGCTGGAGCAGTCTCCTCTGGATTAATATCCATGTTAATGCTGGACAGCTCCTCTTGCATGACATTTACATGATATTGTAGGTTCCTACGCCAAAATTGAACGTGCCGCTATCCGGGTTTATCTCTCCTCAGACCCTGTATAGAACCAATACAGAAAGTAAAGGACTTAGCTAAGTATATCTTGCGTCGTTTCAAACTGCTTGGAGATGTGGTTGCCAGTCTTTACAATGTTTCATATATTTCGACAGAGATTCCTATAAGTCAGGATCATGCCTATACCATCTTGCCTTTCGGACAGAGCTCGCTTAATATCCTCCTTTTTGACTCTGTCATTTTCCTTTCCTAGATCCATAATGCAGACAGAAAGCTCTTTATCTTTCTTCATGAACTTCTCTATGACCTGTCTCAAACTGAAAATCAGGCCCTGTGTATTTATTAAGTTTCTGATTCCGTACTGTTCTTCTCTAATTTGGCTCTTGCTTAGCGAATTCGGCAGAGATATGCCTAGACGATTATAGCAAAATCAAGAGTTAAACCAGAAATAAAGATGATGTACATAAATTAAGATTTTTTCATAACACACATTGATAGTTCAAAATCAAGAACAGCTGTTAAAATTTTAAACTAAAAAGCTTTAATAAAAATTGGGTATCTTTGCTCGCGTCCGTACATTGTACACGTGCCCTCCCGTTATAACTAAATGAGCAATATTGCCGCCGCTAAGACAGTTCAACATCATAGAATCCACAAAAATATGAATCCATCAAAATTAAGGAATCCAAAAGGCCCAGTCAAAACACAGCTTAAGGTTATGTTCTGTAACGCTGGTGGCCTAACTGCTGACAAATTCACCGAATGGAAGACGATTATTACAAAGGAGGATGCTGATTTATATGGGATCGTAGTAGCCGGCTCATCCACTGAAAATATTCAGTTCTACCAATTACCGGGATATCAAACTTATAAACTGCAGAGATCCAGGCAGGTTGCATGAGGAATAATTGTCGGTGCTAAATTATCCCTCAAGGTAACCTTTTCAATTAGAAAGAAGATGGAATAGAATGATAAATTGGAGGCTATACAGTTAGATATATTGAAAAGGATTCATGACGGATGTATTGGGCTGCCAGGAGCCGAATGGCCTAATAGCCAACGGCAGAGGCGTTTAATAAAAAAAAAAGTTCAAAATCAAAATATGAATAAAACTTGATGAATTTCTATGGTTACACTAAATAAACAAACATTCAATGGTTATTGAATGGAATAAACGTCTGTACTGACTACTTAAAGCTTTAATATTGGACTATTAGCTCAGTGTAGTCATCTTGCTCGTTAATATATTGATCAATTTAATGATATGTTGATGAACTTTGGTAACTTGATGGACCGCCTATAGTACCAAGAGTAATGGTACGTACCTCGTAGAGGTGAATGCATGCCCACTGATGCCGATGATCGAACCTTTCGCTCGAATGAAATGAAAGTTTGAGTGAATGAGTGTAAGGTTTGGACTAACTGAAGTCGATAAAATAATTAAACACACTTAATTAATTAATAATAATTAATTGAATTATCTTATATTGTTACAAACATTGCACTCTCTAATCAAATCCTACACCATACCATCAGCCAAAGAGTGTTAGCGCAATCCCGCCTATTTTCCTTTTTTATGACACCACACACGGAATCTTTCATGCGTGGAAAATAGAGTGCATGCGTAAAAGGACGCAATGTCTATAAATATGTAACATGAATTATATTGAGAGTGAAATATTTCTACAAGGTTTAGCTGCGGTTAAGGAAATATTTATATAGGATAAGTTCCTTGAAAATATATTTGTATTTCCGATGGTCAAGAAGAAGCTACTGTAAATTATATTTTTAAATTGGTGGAACTTAAAGAGAGATGTGTGAGATCGGTCGAATCCCATATTATTGAATGGCTAGGCAGTGATGGAAATAAATAAATAATTTTGAGATTAGGGACAAATAGTCTAGATGAAGCCTCGAAGCAAAGCTATCAAAACATGTCATATCATTAATTTCTTCAATTATCATTCATCATACTATGTTAATTGGTATGATGTATCGGTTAATCGGTAATTCGGGTAAATGACAGCAGGAGGTGGTCCTCTACCTCTGATTTCTTTTTTAACAGGTTATGTTCTGATATTAGGTGATAACCTCCATTCGAAGACAATATTTCCTAGGTACATTCCTCTATCATATCATCAACAATCATCGTCCTTCCTACGCCTACAACCTTCTCCAATTCAAGTCCTCAGTCCACTCCCTCCCCACAAGATCTCGACCTTCCGACCTTTACATTCCTTCTCACAGATCTGCCTCGTTCCAAAACTCCTTTATTGCTCGTTCTGTTAGTTTCTGGAATTCCCTTCCTATCAAAATTCGACATTCTTCATCCTTATCTACATTCAAAACCCTCCTATTCCAATTCCTGTCCCAAAAACAGTCAGATACCAGCTAACCTTTTATGTAAAATTACATATTATTTATAATAACATATTCACATATAGCTCATAACCTAAATACTTATTATAGATTCGACTTTCTTTTTTTTTTTCAACAGAAACACAAATTTTACTGTTAAGAAGAATTTACATTTATTTTTTCTGTATTTTGTATTTTTTCTAAAAGGATTTATTTATATTTTAACATTGTACATAATTTTAAGTATCTTAGTATGGTTTCAAGAGTTTTGTATATAGATTTATTTATTTTATTTTGTATATAGTATATATAACGAATATTTTTTCTTACTGATTTATCTTTATCTTAACTTTTTATGTTTGTTTTTATCCGGCCAGATATAAAATTTTAATTCCTGTACTTTTTTGTTATTCTGATGGGACTTCGTCCCAGAGTAAAATTATTTTTCTATTCTATTCCATTCTGAGTGCTCACTGGCTACAATAAGCAATGACAACTATCTTTATATCTTTGTAATTTTTTTTTACATAAGAACCTATTTCCCTCGATTTCGGAAACAAAATCGAACAGGGTTCACTTTTTAATATATATATATATATATATAACTTAGAAATTATTAAATCTTACAGAAGAACTTAAGTATAATATATATTTTGAAAATTATTTGATCAAATGCCATTAGTATTTTGTAAAATTTAAGTAACAATATTCAAATAAGTAAAGAATTAGTTTATTTATATTACTCTTTTCGCTTTTAACAAGTAGTTGAAGATATTGTTAAGGCGACCGATCATTCTTTAATTATTCTTTTTTTTTGTTTATTCCTTTATAGCTTATTAAAGTACAAAAATATTTTGTTAGAAGAAACTTGAAGAATGAATCCCTGGAAAGGAAACACCTATTTACGCCAAGACGAGTGGGAGTTTAAATAGCAATTATATCCTAGTAGTCGTTTTAAACTAAAAATTGTTCTACCAATTCTTTCTATAATAGTAGTAATGAGGAAGTTTGTTATTTGCAAATTTTCAAGAATTCACTCTTAAGTATTTCCCGAGTAATTCGTTTTAATAAAAAAAAATATATTATTAATTTTAAATTGAGCCTGTATTACAACATTCTCAAACAGTTGGTATCTAAATCCTTAAAATTTATAGAAGAAAAAAATCCCTTAGTTGTTTCATTAAGGAAATGTGATATAAAAGAGAGGTAAAAAACAAGCAAGAAGGAATGTGAATAATACAGAAAAGAAAGAAAAAAAAAAGCACAACGAACTAACACTAAAAATCTAGTGCGGTGCGCGAATCACACAACTTTCACTTACCACCCTCTTCTTAGTAGAAATAAGTATTTTCAGATAAAGCGAAGTGAAAGAAAAAATTATAGACTATATATTTATTTATATTTCATTGTGGGTATTTTCATTTCTATAAACACCCTCATATATAAAAATTTTAATATTTATATTGCTGTAATCTATACAATTAAATATTAAATAATACCAACAATAGCATTTATGAAAACCGCATATGTATATTTATATAATATTGTGGTATTTCGTATTATATTAATCGCATGATACGTATGGAAGCGTGTTCTATTCTTTCAAGCGAGCTTAGGTGCACTGGTATTCCTTGGGTTCCTCAATTACAACTATTCTTCGTTACGATTTCTTATTTTTCCTTTAGTTATTTATCAAATTCTTTCATATTTTATATTTAATCATTTTTCATATTAGTCATTAATATGAAATGGTTAATTGTTTCAAATAAAAAAAAATAAAGGTACTTTAGATGAAGGTAATATTTAAAGTTTGCTATTGAAGCTCTGTTAGAGAACATCAATCAGAGTA